TGGCAAGGTGTAATGGCTTGTGGGAATGGCCTGGGGGGGGGGGATGCTGCCTAGGGAACAGTCAGATAAGAGAGGGCACAGCCCGCAGCTGCACAATGGGTAGAGAAAGAGGCTCAGAAGGGACCCTCCCTAATTTCTCATGCTGTAAAGGAGATGAGAGGGGGAGGGAAATTGTACTTTCAGACTTGCAAGATTCTGTCAATACAATAAAGTAGAATTAGCTCATAATACAATAAAGTAGAATTAGCTCATCTGGTCATGTTTCCTGTCTGGTCCACCTGGGAATGGTCAGATAACAGAGGGCACAGCCCACAGCTGCATAATGGGTGGAGAAAGAGGCTCAGAAGGGACCCTCCCTAACTTCCCAGCCTGTAAAAGAGACGGCGAGAGAATTGTACTTTCAGACTTACAAGATTCTGTTCATGTAGCCTTACAAAAAAGTAGAATTAGCTCATCCGGTCATGTTTTCTGTCTGGTCTACCTGGGAAGGCTGACACAAGGCCAGAAGGAAAGTTACCTCTCTGTGTGGAGGCAGGATCACAGTTCGAAAGCGCCAACAACTCCTGTCACATTTCTGCTCAGTTTCACCAAAGTATCATCCTTCTCTCTCACTAAATCCTAGATCAGATGCCCCAGACCCACACTGTTGTGTTAATAAAGTGGTGACTGAATTAACCAGGCTATTAACTGGGTTGGCACCCAGTGAATCAAAGTGGTTTGCTGTTGCATTCTTCCAAAGTGTTTTTCAGCTTCCCATTTTAGCCTCAAGTGCTGGTAGTTCCTGGTGGTCTCCCATCCTGATCCTACTTAGCTTTTTTTAAATCAGCCAAAATCAAATAGCTGCTGACACCACACAGCTGGGCCCTTAAAGGCAAGCTATGAACACAATAAGTAAGTTACTTACTTATTGGTGTAAGAAATCACAGATTGGAAGGCATTTGAGGGCTGTTTAACTCATATAATTTGACCTTGTCCAGGCAGAGCTCCATTTTGGCTTCAAATTACAGCATATATTGATGCAACTCCGGGAATAAATACAAGAGTTAAATATGTAAATGTGCTGTTAAGTTATATTCCAAAAGTATGGAATTTGTTGTTCTGTGAAGAGTTTTGGCTATTGAGCCTGGGGCTGGACAAAGAAAATAAATTTATATAAACTGGAAGTGGATTAAAGCAATTCCCATCTTCTCATAGGCAGCACTGCACTGGTCTCATCATCCAGCTGGGCTGCTGGAGCCAGATGGGGTCCTGCTGTGCCCTGATTCCTCTTTGAGGGCCAACTCACGGTGGTCTCCCTTCCCTTTCAGCTTCTGTTCTGTTTTGGCGACGATTGCACATGGAATGACTCTGTGGCCAGTTACTTCTATCACCTCTCCTTTGCCATGCTCACCGGCTTCCTCTTTGCGTCGCACCTGCCAGAACGGCTGGCTCCCGGTCGCTTTGATTTCATTGGTAAGCAAGGGAGACTTTTGCAGAGCATATCCGAGGCCAGAAGGTGGTTTGTTTAACTACAGCTTATCGTGTGGTGGAGCCTAACCATTAGATGACCTGGCTTTGCATAGCACGTTAGACTGTAAACCTGGCTTAACAAAGTAAACCATTGTTATGCAACAGTGTAGCAATTTAAATCTTTCTATGTTGGCCTGATTCTGGGCCGTCTGTGTGGTGTGTGTGTGTGTCAAAAAAAGTCACGATGACTATGTGATTGAAGCCATAATTATGGGATTGTTTGCTACACATTAAAAAGGAGCGGGGCTTTGCTCACGGCTGCCATCTTGACTTTTTTGACACCTCCCCCTCTCTGAAGTCACCCCTGCCTGGTTCACGTGACACGTGAGCGCAAACTAAAACCTCATTTTAGATTAATGTAAGGTGTTGTCACACACACAGAGTGTCAAGTGTTGGTGGTTGTGGGTTAAAGACTAAACCTGCTGTTGATGCCCAACTAATCTGGGTGCGCTTTCAGGTTAATTCCGTTGCATCAGGAGAAACCGTCAGTGGCATCTGAAGCAAAGTGGAGAGGGGATATATTGGCTGGGTTCCCACAACATGGTTCATCCCAGATGAAATGTGCAGGTTAATAAAAGTGCCATGGCTCTGATGAACGTGGTGCTGAAACAATAAACCATATTACAGCTTAATATAATATAATATTCAAGGTCTCCTTGAATCAACCTCAGTTCCTAGTGAGCAGATGAACCCAACAGCATTTCATCCGTGTTTTTTCCAAATCTCTGAAATACATTTCAAAAATGTGAGTAAGGATTTGCAAGGGGGAAAGCGCCGCGTTCCTCTGCCTGCCCTGGGTGGGACTCACCCTGTCCCTGTTGTCAGACTGATCATCCATTTCCTCTTCTTCTCCATAACTGCCCCCCCGGCTGTAGGTCATAGCCACCAGCTGTTTCACATCTGCGCTGTGGTTGGCACTCATTTCCAGCTGGAAGCAATTCTGGGGGACATGCACTCTCGCCGGGCCTGGCTCAGCGTCCACACCCCACCGGCCATGTTCACCCGCACCTTTGCCATCCTGGGTGCCACCTTGCTGGGGAACCTCCTCCTCTTCGCAGCGTTCGCCGCGGCCCTCTTCCGCTTGCCGGCCTCCATCCGGATCCTCCAGGGCAACCTCCCGGAGTGGGAGGGGCACAAGGACAAGTAGGCTGCCTGGGGACACAGCGGTGGCCCTTCTGAACTGCGGGGACAGCCAGCTCGCCGGGGACACCTTCGTACCTCAAGATTGTGTGTGCATGGAGGAAAAACGCACCCTGGTCAAGAAGGGAGTCCCCCATGTTACCATTCCCCCCGAACCTGAGCATTTGAAACTTGTGGTTAGGCTTGGTGTCTCTCCACACCAATGTCTCCTGTTCGGGACAGGCTGCAAGATCGGGCAGCTGTGTGTCCCCCTGCACTCGCCTCTGCAAATACTTGCCAAGCAGAAGAAACATGGGCTCAAACGTTGCTTGGGGCTTTCTGAATTTTTGAACAGCGGCTGGTGCTCCTCTTCCCTCAGTTCTGCCCGAGTCCAAGAATTCAAGGCTAAAGTCAGGGGGTCCACAGGGTAAGGTGAAAAAAGTCAAGATGGCGGCCATAACGAGGGAACGCAGGGGAAGCTTGGCGAAGCTCAAGGAAAGCAGTCGATGGCTTAACTGCCTGTTTGAAGCCAGACCTTCAGTTTTTCTGTTTAGAAAATCTCATGTTTTGGTGTGAGGAACAGGAGGGGCCCTAAATAAGTCTAAAACCTAAGCACTTGATGCGCAGAAGGGAAGTTATCTTGGAGGAGCCAAAGAGGTGGTAGAAAACAATAGCTGGAAGTAGCCACATCAGACGGACCAAGGATGTAGCAAAAACAGTTGGATGGTCGAGGCAGGTTGTAGATCGATCTGGAAGGAAAAGGACTCTCCAAGCTGGTCTTCCCTTTGATCTTTGGATAAAGAGAGCCGTTGTCTAGAGGGGATGGCGGGGTGGAAGTCTGAAGGTTTCATGCAGGGATTGTAGAAGAGAAGGACTGTGGCAGCGAAGCAAAGGATTTCGAAAAGGATCTCCCGTCCCAAAGTGGAGTTTCGGATTCACTCCTGGAGCTGAACCAGCCTCTGCAGGAGGAACCTGAGAGACGGGATGGATTTTCTATTGTTCTAAATCAGTCTTCTCCAACCTCTTACATTTTGCGATGCAAGATTTGAATCATTTAGAACAGGGCTGGCTGGGGAATTCTGGGAGTTGAAGTCCACACATCTTCAAGTTGCCCAGGTTGAGAAACACAACTTTTGGGTGATTTTCTCCCCCTGCCCCAAATCTTTCATTTTGCAGCTTGGATACTAAATGCATCTTCACGTTCTAAGAAACAGCGTATTCATAGGAGAAGGGCTCAGATTGATCCAGGAGTGGTTGAATTTGCATCCTCCAGCAGGATGATCAGCCCCGAAAAAAGAATGAAAATAAGAGAAAGCAGAACAGTGATAATTTTAATAATAATGAGAGCATCGATAGCTATGACGTTGATAAAAAGCAATAGTTAAAGGCAGGTTTAGACACTCTAGAGAGAGTTAAGGAAACTTGTGGAGAAGCCCACCAAAGTGGGTTGGGCTGATGTTTTTTAGTGGGAAAAAAACTGAGAGTGGCTGTTCTACACATGAAAAATGGGAGGAGCTTTCACTGCACCTTGGTGGCCACCATCTTGACTTTTTTGACCACACCTTGTGGACAGCCCTGTCCAAGGGGGAAAGGAAAGTGCTGCGCTACATCTGATCAGCCCTAGAACTCCATTCCAACCATCTGAAAGGGAATATCTCTTGCTCACTTGCCTTGTACCAAACATTGGCCCATTGGAATGATCTGATGTTGAATTTTGAAAAAACAAAACAACCTGTGCCCACCGAAACATTGAATGAAAAGCTGGACCTTCTTGGAAGTAGCCACAGGAACCAAAAAAAACCCCTCCCAAACCAGTAGGATCTGTTTGTACCTTAATATTACTCTTCTTTATAATGGGTTTAATAGTTTTTTAAAGTAGAGACAATAGCAGCTACTGCGCTTAAATGTTCTTTCTGAAAGGTGTTTCCACCCCTCCACTAACCTCTCCACCATGTGTGTTATTTGTCACACTCCTCACTACCACCACCACCAACTTTAATAGACTTTTGCACAAAGATTCTCTTAATCGTGTTGCTGCTTTTTAAAAAAGTCTGTGCATTGTACCATTTCTATCTACTAACTTTAAAGCACAGTTTCATGTAGCATAGGTGCATGCATATACTTGTCTTCTAATTTATTTTGCAACAAATTTCAGTGGGGGGGGGAGGGTTTAAAACTTTAAAATGGCCTGAGTTTGAGACACGTATTATAGGCAGAACTCGACAGACTTGTGTTGTGGCAAAACTATGATGGGAAAACATTGTTGGCTGGATTTCTATCCACACGCAGGTATCAAAGGCACAGGAGTCTTTCTAGGAAAAGGGAATTTTGACAATTTTATCAGTAATGGTGATGGTGGTGATGTGCTAAGCTTCAAGCAGTTTTCTCCAACAGGTGCCTTCTACATTTTGGCTGGCCCTGTTCCCACAACACACTTGTCCCGGTGAGTCTCCAACTCAGTCAGATCCGTTCCCAGTGGTTCTGGCAGCACGCGATTCCAATAATGGGGTCAAAGCTCCCTGTTCACTTTTCTACCTAGCATCCCACAGCACAGTATTTCTCAGCCTCAGCAACGTTAAGATGTGTGGACTTCTGGGAGTTGAAGTCCATACATCTTGGAGCTGCTGAGGTTGAGAGGCACTGCTATAGCATTACTAGCCCTTTTCCATTGGCCAGGAAGGCAGAAGTAGGTGTGGCTTGGCCAATGCAGCCAATCAGGGTTGGAAAGGCGTGTGCAGCGTTGCCATGCCTTGGCAGCGAATTCTATAATGGAGAGGCTTGCTTTTTCAGTTGCTCTTTCTCTCCAACTCTGTTTCTTGGAGGACTAGACAGGCGACAGAAGTTAAGCCACTGGGCTTACTGTTCCCAGCACAGCTGACTAACAAAGTTTGATTACCCCTGTATATTTGGATCTGTTCTGAGGGTTTGTTGATTGAGCTAATTGATCCCTTTGGGAGTTCTCGCAATACAGTAACTCTTTAATTAACTCACAGTTAATTAGTGATGTGGGACAGCCCCAATGTATTTTAAAGAGTCATCAATTTCACTTACTT